TCTATTTGAACAATGAATCTTGAGAAATTTTATAAAATTATTCTAAAATTGACGTTTTAATCTCGTTAATGCCATTCTGAAAATGACAACTTTTTTCCAATGCTTTTTGCACATTGCCTATAACATTTTTATTAATAAAGATATAACATTTGCTAAATATCATTATATTTCTTAATGTCTGACGTTTGGATTGAAAAGAATTTCGTAATATGTTTATTTTTATAAAAATTATAAACAATAAATTGAATTACATGTTATACTCAAGTATGTCGTAACGTGACATAGAGGTGAAGTTCGCTTTCCTTAAAAAATAAAATAAATTATTGTTATGCAGAACACACATCTAAATATATCATTTAAAATTCACAGGAGGATATGGTATGCCTGTCCTGTACTGCAACAGGAGAGAGGGTCTGCCTAGCAGCCGAGGGTTTCGGCAATCGACATTGTTTTCTCGAAAATATCGCAGATAAGGTAAAAGCGAGCGCGAATTTCACGAACAATGTCTTTCATCTCAATGTCTTTATGCATACTTAATCCCTCTTCTCTTCCAGAACATACCGCCGGATTTGTCGCAATGCGTGTTCGTGATAGAGCAGGCCCTCTCGGTGAGGGCCCTGCAGGAATTAGTTACCGCTGCCGGCTCCGAGACGGTAACGTATAAATTATCTGCTTAATATCGTACACTTCGTATGACTTCAGCTTTGCTAACGAAACTCGTAGGAAATAGTAGTAGTTTCTACTCGTACCATCAATGAAACAGCAACTCCTTCATTTCAAGGGAGGTGAATAATTCGAACATATGACTACGAATGACGAGGCTCTTACAGCCGAGCTTGACTCATACGATCCGCTAATTGTAATTTACGCGAACAGTACGATCACCCGCGTCTCGCGATTAGAAGCTCTTTACATTCCAAATTAATGGTCAAATATTAGGCTGTTACACGCGCTCGACCTGCATAGGAGTGGGCCATAAAACCCGCCCCCTTTTGCCAGTCTCTGTGTAAAAAGTCCCGGAACAGCACAGGTCTAAAAGATGTTTAAGAAAGAAGAAACGCTGAATGGTATCCGAAAAAATTGGGATGTCTTCTAGTGTAACATCTTTACAACGTCTGTTAGATCTTTAGGTTTGCTCAATTTTTCCTCCGAATAATTTCCGAAAGATTCCTTATACGGAATAGCTTCTCTTCAATGCATCTGCAAGCAATTCCCCCCCCCCCCCCCCC